CAGGTTTTCATGGGTCCAAGATGTGTGCTTTCTTGGAAGATGACGTGTGCAACTTTCAGGGTTGTTTGCAGAAAGGTGGCTTCCTCACGAGTAGATTTATTTGCTAGGGGAGGGAACTGGAAATGACCATAAATAACCGCCTGATCATGGTGGGGACACAACAGGGGGTCAGACCACTCTTCGGACATGTTTGCGGGGTGAGGCATCCAAGGTTTAGAGCACAGGCCCACGCCCGGCTTCTGCAGGAGGCGAGCGGGGGTCAAGCCCGCCAAGGGAACAGCTCGCACAAACTGTTCATTTCCATTTGCCTTTTTCCTACCTCAAATTCTCCTGATCATCACTTAAAAAATTTTATTGTTAAATTTTTATTATTATTATTACTTTTTTATTATCATATTTTAAAAGGGAGGTACTGGGGCTTGAGCCCAGGACCTCGTGCCTGCTGAGCACACGCTCTACCGCGGAGCTCTGCCCTCCCCCGACTCCTGCTCTCCACCTTTTTAAAAAAGAAATACGTGGCGCTGTACGTAAGCAGACCCTCTTAGACCCTGACTTGGCAGCCGTGACGAGGGGCTCACGGGAGCCAGAGTCCTCGCAGCGTTTGCCACTCGCTCCAGGTGAGTTTTGCTTGGCGAGCAGAGGGTGGGTGTGGGTTTCAGACGCGCTGCTGTGACGAACGGGGTGAGAACTGAACCGGCCACGACGTCCTCTGTGATGGAGGGGATTTATCACATCCTCCTCGTCCTCCGCTCCGGGGATAAGCAGACAGTCTTGTAGTTTTAAGTGTGAACTTTAAGAAACTGGATGAAATTCAGAAATGGAATTTTGTGTTTGAAACGGAATTTTTAAGCAGACACAGGAAGAGATGGACGGTGTTCTAACCCAGTTGTTTACACGCCATTCATGATTTCACAGGATGCAGCCTAGAGACTAGGATTTGCCCACGCCCTGCGCCAGAAATGCCACAGCAGTTACTTTATTGGGGCGGAAATCTTTCTGCATTGGTTTTATTATTAAGTCCTCCCCTTTTTTGTTTTAACCCAGGGTTTTAGTGTGGTAAGCCCAAGGTAGTCCCAGGGTCCTTAAGAGATGGGAGAGGGAGGCAGGAGAGATGTGACAGAAGGAGACGTGACAACAGAGCAGGGTGGGAGAGAGACGTGGGCAGAGGCCACGCTGACGGCGCGTCTCCTTTCTCCTTTCCCTCCTCTTCTCAGTCTGCAACCTCCCCCGCCGCCCCCGCCACGGGAACGGCCGTAACGCAGCCACGAGGGGCAGAAATCGGAGACGGAGGGCCCCCTCCCCACCGTCGGCCCTTACATTTGAACAAAATACTTCTTAGTGGCTGGACTTCTTTCCTTCCTGTCACCTTATGTTCCTCGAGTTAGAGAAAGCGTTTGTAAGCAACGCCTGCATCTTCTGGAATGTTTCTTCTTCAGTGTGTTTAACGCAAAGGTTGGCGAAGTCTGACCCTCAGGCCCCGTCTGCCCCCCTGCCTGTTTTTGTGTGGTCCATGAACTGAAAAAGTCTTTTAGTTTTTAAGAGTTGGGGAAAAAACCCACAGAAGAAAGAGATTTCAGGACACGTGAACCTTATAAAAAAAATTCCAAGTCCACAAGTTAAGTTTTATTGGGACCCCAGCACTTGGATTCATCTACATTTTATCTGCTGCTGTTTCCAGCTCAGCGGCAGAGACCAGGCAGCTCACAGAGCCTAAAACATACATTTCCGTCCCTTTTGTTGACCTCTGGCTTGGGGGAGATAGCCTAATGCACACAGAGAAGAAGCTATTTAATGATGATATTTGACTGAATAGAGGGGTCAGGCTTTGAGGTTTAAATAAACCAGAGCAGATAAACGGCAGTCCAGGAAGCTACACGTTAACTTACTCAAGTTTGCACCCAGCAGGCAAGGGGCTGGCTGCAGGTAACAGCAACCTGAGGACACGGAGACTCACTCACCTCCTGAGGCAGAAGTGCGGGAGCGGATGGTCCGGGCCTGGGGCTGGAGTTCCGCGTTCCTCAGCAACCTGGACCCCTTCAGCTTTCTTGCCTTCACCCCAGTGCATGACTTTCAGCCTTGTGATCGTGACACCTGCTGTACCTTCCGTCTTTGTGGCAAAACTTTACAGGTTCCGCTTAGCGTGGCTGAAAAGTCTATTTCCACTACTTGGTCAGATGGGGTCTGCACGCAGGAAGCGTTGCCGGGGCGAGGAGCCAAAGCGGACCAGAAGGATCCAGGGGAAGGGTGGGGGTGACCAGAGCCTCGGGGGCCACGTCTTCCACGTCTCACGCCCTGCTCCGGCATCAGAATCCCCGAAGCGTCTGCCCAAACCCAGAGGGCTGCGCCCAAGCCCTGGGGTGTCTGAGCCAGCAGTCCAGGCTGGGCCCGGGAGTCCGCCTTCCTGACCAGCACGGGGTGACGGGGTGTCGGTGGAGAGGGGACGAACGTGGATGCCTCTGGTCCTGGGCTCCTTTGTACCCAACTCGAGAGGGTCAATGATGCTCTGGGAGGGGGAGGGAAGAGGCAGAGTCTCCGTGGAGGGTCTAAACCCGGCCACTCGGCTGCTGGGCTGGCTCTTTCTCCCGCACAACTGTGCGGGAGCGTGTGTGCGCACGGCCCCACCCCCGGCATCTTGTCAAAGGCAGATTCTGATCAGGGAGGAGGCACAGGGTGGGGTCAGAGACACGCACCCTAGCAAGCCCCAGGTGTGGCTGCTGGCCGCGCTGTCCTGCTGGGAGGCCGGGCGGTGGGAGCCGCGCCGTCCCTCCTCTCCTTCAGTGGGCCACCCTGTTTCCAGCCCCAGCTACCTCTCCCACTGCCAAAGGCTGCGCCGCACGGACATTCTGGGCAGGGTGTCCACATTTCTGTCACTTCTACTGAGCGGGAGTACTGACTCATTTGCGTGACATTCTCAGCTCTCTGGAAAGATAGAGCTGGGCCAGAAATGGAAACGGTGGCGAACGTTCTCTGGGAAACAGGAAGCCAAATATTTTTTTCAATCATTATTTCCCCTGGAGTCAGAGATAGCTTAATTTCCAATGAAATACGACTTTGAGATTACAAGATAAAATCCAAGCTCAAGAGCAGAAGGGCAAACACTGTGAGAAAGAAGAGAGTCGTGAAGTGTCTCTGACGCACTTCAGGCTCGGAACTTATTTGTCATCAGCTGTGTGCATGCGTCCCGCTGCAGGAGGACCTGCGGGGCGCTAAGTCTGCACCGTGCGTCCCGCTGCAGAGGACCGGCGGGGCGCTAAGTCTGCACCACGGGTGCTGCTGCCAGAACTGTCCCTGCCTCTGCGGACTCCGAGCTCTCCGGAGGTCAGCTGCCTGTCGGTGATGCTTCTCCAGTTCCAAGGAGGAAGCATCCGTCCCCAGCCCAGTGGAACACAAGTGTGTGCTGCTGTTTGTGGGGACGTGTGCCTTGATTTGTCCCAGGTGTACACCGGGGAGCAGAACGACTGGGTCCCACAGTAACCGCACGATTGGCGTCCTGAGGAGCTGCCGAGTGGCGTTCTCAGCGTGGCGGTGCCACCGCGCACTTCTATGCGTCCCCACTGCGACGTACGCGGGCTCCAGGTTCTCTGTGCCCTTGTCAGCGCCTGCTAGTATGTGTCTCTTGTTCCAGCCTCCCTGGTGGGAGTGAACCGCATCTCCAGGTGGTGCTGGTTGACGTTTCCTTGATGCCCGTGATGCTGCGCCCCTCTTCACGTGCTGACTGGCCGTCTGTCGGTCTTCTTTAGATAAAGATCTGTTCAGATTTTTACCTGCGTCTTCATTGGGTTAGCTGTCTTTTTAGTACTGACTTGCAATAGTTCTTTATAGATTCTGGAGACTTGCCTCCTATCAGACACGTGAGTTGCAAATATCGTCTCCCATTCTCCCATTCTGCAGATGGTCTTCTCACCTTGAAGGACAAAACTTTGTAAATCCCGGTGATACCCGATTTATCTGTTTTTTCTGCTGCTTGTGCTTTTGGTGTCATATCTGAGGAGCTCCTGGCCAATCCCAGGCCACATTTATACTAAGTGTTTCCTCCTTCTAAGGGCCTTCTGGGTCTAGCCCTTACATTAGGCCTCTTCTCCACCGTGAGCTGCTTTCTGCACGCGAGCGGGAGCAGGGCCCCGCCTGTGTCACGTGGACAGCCCGTCAGCGCACCGCCCTGTGTTGAAGGGACCCTCCTCTCCTCCACTTGATTGTCTCGGCACCCTTGTGGGAGTTAACTGACTAACAGTGATTAAATACAAAAATGTTTATTTTTGAGCATCTTTCCATGTGCCTGTTGGCCATCTGTATGTCTTCAAAGGTTTTTTTTTGGCTCTCAATTCTGTGTCATCGGTTGTCTTTCCTTGTGCGAACCACGCTGTTTTGATTGCTGTAGCTTTGTAGTAAAGTTTGAATGGTCTCAAGGAGACCTGAATAGGACATCCCACCAAAGAGGGCCACGATGAATCAGCCAGAATCCATCCAAGCCTGGTGGGGGCTAGACCTGGTGCTTGAACGTCTCTCAACTCCTGGGCAGGACGGCATCAGCCTCTGCATACTGCTTTGCTGTCCCAGTCCTGAAATTCACTGTAAATGTTGAGCAAAGGGTATGACTGGTCCTGTGCCCTTTCTTGTCTCGTGCACTCACCTCTGAGATCTCTGTCCAGCGAGTACCAGCTGGTGTCTGGCACCCGCCCAGCTCCAGGGCTGCAGGGAGACAGCCCTGCTCAGGCGCAGGCGTGCACTTGAGCCGTGACGCCTGACTCATGCCTACAGCCCGTGGTGGAATGTCAGGCCAGCGCCTGCCCTGCTCCCACCTGGGACAGCGTGGCTCTCCAACCTGGGGTCTTTGCTTTCTCCTCCAGAAGAGTGGTGGCGCCCACTCAGACTTCAGCGTCCCGTTTCTGTGGGGAAAGGGGCAGCGGGATATCCAGGGGTCTCTGCCCTGCGGGCTCTGCACCCTAGGGAGTGTAGCGGGACCATGGTGCCTCCCTTTCACTTTCAGAGAGGCCCTGCCCAGCCCCACCCCCTCGGTCACTGTGGCCAAGGCAGGTACTTGTCTTCCACGTGACAGGACGCCACACTCTCCTGTTCTCTCGCAAGTTCTGAGCTCTGCTGGATGCGGAAGCCCAAATGCCGGGTAAGCCGGGGTATCCTGGACCGCTGTGTCCTGCCCAGGGAGAAGCCTCTGCCTCCCCACACCCTGAACCGGTTCAGCCCAGCAAGTTTGAGGCTCTCCAACCTCTTTGGGTTCGTTCAGAGATCAACAGCGCCGCCACCTGGCGTATCACTGTGAGTCACCACAGCAGAAGATGGCACGGGGGGGGGGTTTAAAAAAAAAAGTTTGCCACACTCTGTTCTGTTTTGGACCTACCCCTCTGCATTCCTGATGCGTGAATAAGCGGATAAGGTCGCGAAAGTGACAGATTCCCATCTCCTCCTCCCAGCGCTCTCCTCCCTGCGTGCGCACAGGGACCGCCCCTCTTCAATGTCCTTTGCCCATAAAGTGGCTTTTACACGTGCCCTTGCATCGATCTGATCTTTCAGCCAAACGGGAAAACTTTAAACAGACCTGAGTGGGACCCGTCTGGAGCCCCGCCCCTCCCTTTGGGGGTTCGAGGTGGACTGTCCCTCTGGGATGCTGGACAAACTCAGGCCAAATAGGCCAACATGCTCCTAGCACACCCACTGCGCAGGGCTGGGCAGGGTCTCACCGGCCACCACTTCTGAAGGGGGGAGGGGCCTTTCCGCCCTGACGATATCCCTGCGACTTTCCCACCTGACGAGATGAAGTCCGGCAGAGGCAGTTCACGCTCAGGGACTCTCGGGTCCCTGCGCGGGGGTCGGGGCGTCAGGTCAGTCCTAGCCCCGCCCACGCCCCCTGCATCTGTCTCCTGAGCTAGGCGCCCTGGCCGGCGGTCTGGCTCGCTCTCTTGGCGATCACGTCTTGGAGGAAGCCCACGCCCTAGGCAGCCCCTCCCAAGGCCCACCTGGTGGTGGGCAGCCCCTCCCGCAGCCCGTTGTGTCCCGGGCGCTAAGTCCCCCACCCCTCATCCAAGGCCTCCTAGACCCATCTCCTCGTCCCAGAGTTCCGCAATCCAGGCTCGCCTTGAAATAGGTGGTGACAACACTGATGGAGGGAAAGAAAGAGGACCGAGAGGTTCAG